CCGCTAGCTTAGTCGTGGTATTGAACCGGCTGGGACTTGGACTGTAACCGAGATAGGGCACAAGAGAACAGAGGTAGAATTTTCATCCGAGGCACTACTGTTAATGCAATGGCCTGGGAAATCGATGGAAGTGAACGCATTCACAGTTAGCCGCGAGATGACGGTCTTTTCTTTATCTGCTACCTGGGGGCTCGGTCGGTAACATATAGTTCTGCTCTTTCGAGACCACAAAACTTGGCAGCGAAAAAGGAAGTAAATAGACTCGCTTCATTATCCCGTTAAAAAATCACATGAGAAAATTAGCTTAAGTTTGTCGCAGTTTCTGTAAGATGAACTCGATTTAGAAAACTGGGTTCATAGTAAATCGCCATCCAACCAGGCGTAAAAGCTTGAGAGCAATCGTATTTACGAAAAGTGGATAATCCGTAAATTTGGTCTAAACTTTGGAATTCAGTTTTTTTTCAGAAGAAAATATGTTCGCTCTATGTCTGATCACACACTGTAGCATAATTTGTAATGCCAAGTGAATCTTTATTTCGATAATTCTGAGCCCCCCATCACCTTGAATTCTCGGTTTGAATGGCAGCTTAGTTCTCATCCATGGAACCCAATTTGCCCCCCTCCCTCCCTCCTGTTGTTTGGTCGTAGATCGTACGGATCGCAGAAGATTTAGGTCAACAATTGCCCTACTTGAATACGCTCATTCTGACGAGTAATGGATTTTCGGAGCTTCGTGAATTGGATCCGTTGGCCACATGTGACAAATTGTCCTTTCTCACTCTGACTCATTGTCCCGTGACCATGCGCGCGAACTATCGTTTGTATGTGATCAGTCTGTTACCCGCGGTAAGTCAGTCACCTTATTTGTTGTTTTGTTATACAACCCGTTCTTTCTTCCGATTCCCTGTGTTCTATCCGGGTTGACGGAAGGTTCCCTGTATATATTTCGTAGTAATTAGTGTGTGAGTGTTAATTCCTTTTCTGCGGAATTAGGTCTGACTGCCTTCCCGTGTTAAACCTGGCGACAAGTGACGCGCAGTCCCGGTTCCAATGCAATGAAAACCAAGACTGTCTCGTGATACGGTACCATTACCGCGAATTAATTAATGACATGATAAGTTATATACTAACCTTGATTCGTGAGGTATCTGTGTTAGGACAGTCGTCAAGGCATTTCCAGATATAAGCGCATCAAATAGGAATATGATAGCGCTTGGCCGTGTCGAAATACACCTTACACTCAAGGTGCTTCAAAAGGGGACAGTTCACCGCCCTGTCAAAGAGAGAATATGATCAAACTATACAGAGTCAAACAATTAAGTCCAGTCAAGCAGTGACATGAAGCTCCAAAAAAATGAGCCAATCATAAGAGAGTTGAGCGCACACAATTCGACCTCTTGCCAAACAACGACAGGCGTGCGTGCGTACATGAACAAGTGACTCCCAAGGAGCCATCAAAACAGGTCACATGTCACAGTTCAACCAATAGTAAGGGCAATGGAGGTCACAAGAGAACTCGTGTGGTTGAAGTCATACGAGTGAGCGGTGTGCGTGT